ACCGCCCTAAGGCTCATAAACCGTTGTATTCCTTCTTAAGCACCCCCAAAAGTACTGCAACCGAGATACTTGCTCTGAAGAGGCCTTCTACAAATCTAAAGCCATTACCTTCGCCTTCCCGATGCTGATATGTAGAATCCATAATGATATAGAAATACCACAAGTTCTGACATCCTCCAATATAAATCTCCGTTTCTAGCCAAATACACATCCTGGAGATTCCCAACTGCCACGTATAAATCTTGAATTCATTGGAACCATTCTCAAGAGTCATCCACTCTACTCAAATCTCAATTAAACTGACTAAACGGACCGAACGACCTGTTCCCCATTAGCACTCCAACACCCAAGGAAGGAATACCACCTTAACGCAACCAAATAAATTCCTGCTCCATGCACATTACATCCTTCACCAATAACAACTCAAACCGTTCCGTGATTCTCATATACTCATAAAGCCTAATACAACTCGTACCCTAGAAATTCCTTTACTCAAGTAATCCTCGATCTCACCCTCTGCAAAACATAACTCATTCACAAGTATACCTCAAATCAAAACCAATACAACACAAAATCGTGAAATCAACTTATCAATAGCGGACTCCCCCACTTGGCTCAAAGCCATAGATCAAAACACACCATAACTCCTAATGCCCATACTTTATTACAGCCATAATACCGTAGTGAGATTCAACTAAATCCTCCATAAGTTCGTGCAACACAAACAATATAATACCTCAAATTATTTGCAAATCTCGTATTCAACCTCGTAACAGTCAAGCCCACTCTCATAAGCGATCCAAACTCAAATTGCAACACATATTTCACTGGTAAAAGAGAACTCCCAACAAACAACATTGGAATCACACAAGCCTCAGGACACCCTGCAGGATATAGCCAACCTTCTTTGCCTCAAACTGACCTCTCTTTATACCATCCCACAGTCATAAAAATTACACAGTCACTTAATCTTCATGAGTCTGAACTCATAACACGACATGAAATCTACTTCACTCCTCAACTAAACAACATGAAAAGACCCTTCAACACACCCATAACTCGGGACTATACATGAAATCAAGATGGAAATCAAGCACCGAATAGTTCTTTCTACACTTCAAGCAGACCCTTCTCGTTACATTCAACATATCTCGCAGTCATATCATACTCATCTTGTAGCCACCCAGCCATAAATTCTATAAATAGTGACACTACCGGACATATAACTCCAATAGCACGTGCTCACACAATCAACACCTCTATGCTCAAACCACAGTCAAAACTCAGCCTCAAGTCCCCATACTGGCCCATCATCAGCATACCGAAATCATATCTCGCACCTCTTCCATGGAATCACAAGCCATTGATGTACAGCTAGTATCGAGCGGTCACATGCGCATACAAATGTGTGGAAAGGAATTGGGAGAGTTACGCTCAAGCTGAATTAATACCGGACGATAAGGAAAGAAAGATGGGAAGTATATCCTAAATGTCCTGTAGCCTCTCGAGGATAGATATAGACGTCATCATACCGATCCGCAAGACTCTACTAGACACTTGCTCATGACTTGTAGAGCCTATGAACCAAGAGCTCTGATAACAATCTCTCACGACCCAAAATCCACCCATCATGATGGCACCTAACCCAACCCGCTAGGTAAGCCAATCAATAATTATCCAATTCTGTTTAACTTAATAATACAATAAAATAACAGAATTATCTATATGATATACATTTCCCAAGGACTAGTAGTACAAATTACGAGCGTCTAAGAACAGGGTTTACAAAGCGTATATGAAGAAAAATACATCTTCTGTTCGAAAATTACATAAACAAAGTTTATAAATCTAAGGCTACCGTGAACAAGAGGCAGCTACAGCAGGAACGCAAGTATGCCTTCAAATCCAGTAACCATCGATTGCAACAACCTCAGCATCCGGGATCTGCACGCAATGTGCAAGAAGTGCAGTATGAGTACAACCGACCCCATGTACTCAAAAACTAACAAACCTAACTTTAGGTTGAAAGTAGTGACGAGCTGGTAGATAGATCGGGTCCAACACAAATAACCAACAGTAGTTCATACTAGTGTACAACAAGTAAATAAAGAAATAGCTCAAAAATAAAGTGCTCAGCCTTTTCATAGTTTTCCGAAAACAGTTCCACTTTTCAAGTATACAATTGAAAGCCCAAATCCTCTACCGAAATGATTAAAAATATGAGTGAGTTTTGAAAACTGTAACATTTTCTTGAAAATTCCTTTCCACAATAGGTAGAAATATTTCATTTCCTTTTTCAAATAACAAGTGTGAAATACCTCTTTATAACCACATATCAATGTATGTAAAAAGTCATGAATGACGTGATACCGTACAACATGAGGAAAAATGCGTCTCTATGCATGTATGCCATATATGCATGCCAAGATGAATCATGTACTCACACTCTCAGAGTACTCAACCTCACTACATCCCATTCAACCACTCTGTACTGCATATGGCCCATATGGCCTAGGGAAATCCATCCAGCAACATATACAAAGGGTAATCCAACCCCTTTGGAGAAATCCATCTCCAGTTATCAAGTACTTCGGACAAATCCATGCCCAGGGAAATCTATCCCTCAATAATGTATAAATGCTCAACCACCCGGTACCGTATATGGCCCATGCGGCCCAGGGAAATCCATCCCGGAACATACTCAACAATGACTAGATGGCACTCGGTACCGAGGAAAAACGGAAATCCATCCCTGCAGAGAAATCCATCTCCATATATCAATACTTCTGACAAATCCATGTCTAGGGAAATCCATCCCTCTATAATATCATCGGCACTCACTGGGGGTGTGCAGACTCCGGAGGGGCTCCTACAGCCCAAGCGCTATAATCCTCACGGACAACTCACGTGCTGCACGGGCAACTCACGTGCTATAACATCAATATCAGAATCTGCACGAATAAATTACGTACTGCACAGACAACTCACGCGCCATAGTCTCAACATCTCACAATCAGGCCCTCGACATCACTCAATCATCAATCTCTCCAGTCTCACTCACGGGCTCACAATGTCATGAAAATTGACCCGAAACAATGATATGATGTATCAATAAGTAACAACTGAGACTGAGATATGATATGAATGCATGAATGTGACTGAGTACGAAATATCAATGAATTCAATGAGATGACAGCAAGAAACTCCGCATTGCAGACAAATAGTCGCATCTGCGACCATCACTTCTGCGATAAATGATTCGTTTCTACGAAAATAGCCATGCTCAGCAACCCCCGCACTTGCGGTCTTAAGCTGCTACTGTGATCGCGCTTCTGCGCTCATGAACCGCTTCTGTGATTGCGCAGGTGTGTCCAAGCACCCGCACCTGCGATCCTCACTCCCAGCTTCCTTTCTGGCTTCTGCGATGACACTGCCGTTTTTGCGGCTCCGCACCTGCACCCAACACTCCGCAGGTGCGGTCACACCAGAACCAGAAAATCTTCAGCTATGCAACATGGAGTGAAAATGATTCGAACCTCGTCCGAAACTCATCCGAGCCCCTCGGGACCCCTTCCGAACATACTAACACGTCTCAAAACATAACACGGACCTACTCAAGGCCTCAAAACAGGCATAACATCATCGAAACAACGAATCACAGCTCAATTCGAAATCATTGAAATTTGAAACTTCAACTTCCACAACCGATGCCAAAACCTACCGAATCACATCAAATAACCTCAAATTTTGCACGACAGTCACATTAGACATTACGGACATGCTCCAACTTCCGGAATTTGAATCTGACCCCCATATCAAAAAAGTCCCTCTCTCGGTCAAACTTTCCAAAATTCCAACTTTCGCCATTTCAAGCCAAATTCTACCACGGACCTCCAAATCATGATCCGGATGCGCTCCTAAGTTCAAAATCACCCAATGGAGCTAACAGAACCATCAGAAATCCAATCCAAGGTCAAATACCAAAAAAGTCTAAACTTGGTCAAATCTTTCAAATTTAAAGCTTCAAGCTAAGAATCATCCTTCCAAATCGATCCCGAATAACCTGAAAATCAAAACCAACGATTCATATAAATAAGAATACATCATGCGGAGCTACTCATGCCTTCAAACAATCGAGCAAAGTGCAAATGCTCAAAATGACCGTTCGGGTTGTTACAGATACAACTTTTGCTCTACATCCTTTAATAACCTATAAAAACTTTTAGCTTCTATATTTGGCTCTTCGTACCTAGACTCGATGGTCTCATCAACCTCACGACTATTAGAGGGAATACCATGATAAATGTCATGCAACATTTCATATGTGCGAGCATCATCATTCCCTAAATTTTAATCTATATTAGAATTTGTTTCATCGTCTGAAGGTGCATCCGACTCACCATGATAAATCCACCTATTATAGGTCGGATCTATTCCCCACCTAAGGAAATCCGTCTTCACATCATCGCGTGATTTTCTAAGTACATTATTACATTTAACGCACTGACACTGGATTCTTACACCAACCTCGGGAATAGAAAATGCAAAGTTCAGAAAATAGTCCACACCATTCAAGTATTCTGGTAATGTCCTATTCTTAATAAGTAGCCAAGTCTTATCCATCATATACTTACCTACAAGAAAAATAAAACTACATAATTAGAATTTTAAAACTATATATTTATCTTTCTCTCACTGCTATTAATGGCGCAAATGCAATTTAATAGGGCCACAATGCAAGAACGATCACCGGTTAAAAACTAAAAAATGCACATAACATCTACAAGATTATGCAGATTTGCACCCAATCTCATACTCAGGATCAATTCGAGACACCAATTAATTGTCATGACCCAAGTTCTTCCTCCGTGAACTGTCATGACGGAACCAAGTCTCCACGACTAGGTAAGCCTAACAATTTACGAAAAATGAAACAAAGACACGAAACTAACAATTAATAGGTAAATATAATAAAGGAGTTTCAAATGCCGCTCGGCATATACAATAATATCACTTTCGAACTGAACATAGCACTCCCAAAACCCGGAATCTCATGAATCACAAGCTAAAGAAGTACGTAATATTTCTAACTCAAGAAGTCTAATAACGAAGAAAATACAGGAAGTCTATAACTGAAGGGAGAATAGAGAGGGACTTCTAGGTCTGCGGACGCGGCAGATATACCTCGAAGTCTCTAGAATGCCTCGTCTCACTGGAAGTATGGCTGAGAAGAAGAACCTGGATCTGCACAGGAAAAACATGTGCAGGAAAGGGCATGAGTACACCACATCGGTACCCAGTAAGTGCCAAGCCTAACCTCGGTCGAGTAGTGACGAGATCAGGTCAGGGCCTTACTGGTTTATACATATAATAAGATAAAAACGTATGAAATATCATAGTAGAGTTAAAATGCTAGCAATCAATGAAAAATAAAATCATAGGAAGAAATAGCTCAGTACATAGAAATAGCAATAGGGCATCTCCCGGGATACTGTCCCGTAGTCCCAAACGTAAATGTACAAAGGATCTCTCGGGATACCGTCCCGTAGTCCAAATCGTAAATGTGTAGGGGGATATCCCGAAATACCGTTCCGTAGTCTCAAAATAAATATCCAGTACAGGGGGATCTCCCGAGATACCGTCCCGTAGTCCCAAACATAAACACACAGGGGGATCTCCTGGAATACCGTTCCGAAGTCCCAAAATAAATACACAACTCATTCAATATACATAACAGTTGCAGCTAGGAAATATCTACAGTTCTAATCAAGTTCGTAGCAAAGAAGATAGGTGATTCTTACTCTAAACATGCTACACAGAATCTAGGTAGACCGTTAAAGCAGATAAGATAGTTACGGCACATAAGCATGCTTTCCTTAGCTAGACATGAGGCTATATATACTAGTATTGCTCAATTAAAGGAAAACACAGTTAATTACTTAAAGAAAATGGGGGTTTTTTCAACAATTAGCACGTGTACGCACTCGTCACGTCGCATACACGACATTCATATAACAACAATACCAAAAATCCTAAGGGGAGTTCTCCCACAAAAGGTTAGACAAGCCACTTACCTCAAACCAAGCTCAAATCAATCCGATATCACGCTCTTCCCACGAATATCCAACTCCGAGTAGCCCAAATCTAATCAAATCAATTACATAACATAAATATAGCTACAAGCAACTAATTTAGCTAATGAATTTAAAGCTAAGGCGAGAAAATAGGAAAATTCCCAAAAATCCTCCCCAAGCCCACGTCTCGGAATCGGGTAAAAATCACAAATTTCGAACACCCATTCACTCACGAGTTCTCTCGTACAAAAATCATCACAATCCGACATCAAATTCCTATTCAAACTTCAAATTTTCAATTGTGGAACTTTTTCCCCAATTTCCAAACTTCCACCCCCAAATTCCTTAATTAAATGAGGAAAACAACAATAGATTTATGTATATGATCTAGAATAGAGTTAGAATTCGTTACCAAATAGCTCTCCTTCAAAATCCCTCAAGAAATCGCCTCCCACCGAGCTCCAAATTAAATTTTGTGTTATGAAATCTCAAACCCTCGAACTCCTCTTTTCTGCCCAGCGATTTCAGCATTTGCGGTCATGGGGCAGCTTCTGCGGTCCCGCACCTATGGAAAAACCATCGCAGGTGCGAAAGTCAATTAACCAGGTGGGGCCGCTTCTGCGGTCACTGGGCCGCATCTGCTGTCCCCTAGCCGCATTTGCGGTTCCTGATACCCAAGTCAAATTCAGCTTCTACGGTCCACTCAGCCGCTCCTACGGCACCGCACTTGCGGTCCCACATCCGCAGGTGCGATTATAATAGGTTCATCAACTTCAAAAAATGCCTAAGTCCAATTTTTCATCCGTCAAGCATCCGAAACTCACCCGAGGTCCCCGGGACCTCAACCAAACATACCAACCAATCCTAAAATATCATACAAAGTTAGTCGAGCCCTCAAATTGCATAAAAAAAATGTTAAAACCACGAATCACCCTCCAATCCAAACTTAATGAACTTGAAATTCTAAAATTCTACAACCGATGTTGAAACCAAACAGACCATGTCCGATTGACCCCAAATTTTGCACACAAGTCATATTCAACACTACGAACCTACTCCAACCTTCGGAATCGGATTCCGACCCCGATATCAAAAAATCGACTATCGGCCCGAAACTCAAAAATTCAACTTTCGCCATTTCAAGCCTAAATAAGCTACGGACATCCAAAACACAATCAGGACACGCCCCAAAGTCCGAAATCACCCAACGGAGCTAACGGAATCGACGGAATTCCATTCCAAAGCCGTCTTTATACTGCTCCGACTACAGTCCAAATTCTAAGACTTAAACTCTCATTTAGGGACTAAGTGTCCCAAAACACTCCGAAATTCAAGATGAACCATCCCGTCAAATCAAATAGTAGAAATAGACACGAGGAAAGCAGTTAATAGGGGATCCGGGCGTTAATTTTCAAAACAACCGGCCAGGTCGTTACAATTATGTAAATTTTCAACTGAACTTCATACTCAGGCTCAACCCAAGACACCAATTAATAACTATAATAAAATATACATTATTAACTTCTTCAATATTATGAGTATAAATTAGAATCCAACAAAAAGACTTGTTATTTCGCAAGTGAAATTGGGTACTATAAAAGAAGAAATTAACCACGTCTAAATTTTTTATTCTATTGCAACTTCAACTTGAAAATTCCATAACTTAAATAAAACAAAGAAAAAAAGCAAAAACTAACAAAATAATACTAAGAAAAGGATTTACAAACTTTTCCAGAAAAGTAAAAACAATGAAAATCAAAGCTGCTTTACTTTCTTCAAGTAGAAAATACGCCACTAATAGGAGCAAGAGAAACTTCAGCTTGGGGTATCAAAATCCTCTTCTCATAAATCCTATCTTCTCCAATTCTCATTTTCTTCTAGTCCAATATTTTTGAGTTTTATCATAAAAAGAAAAAAAACAGAATAGAGTCCATAGGTATTGCAAATTAAGAAAAAGAGTATGCATTAAACTAAATCAAAAGCTGAAAGCACTAGATATTGAGAAGAAACGAAATCATAAGCGAGAACTTACCAGGTTTTGGGTATAACTCAGCGGAAGGGATCGAAGATTGAACCCGCCAGATGCAAGACCTTAGTTTAGCAGAATAATAAAAAAAAAGAAAACCTAGATGGAGTGGAAACTAGGCGCTATGAATTGGGGAAAAAGTAATAGAAGATGGAAAACCTATTTTGGCGCGTCTGTTTTGGCGAAAAAGTTAAAATAATTTACTAAATTTTAGGCCACAACTAAGAGGAGTTGTTGAGAAAACTTTGTGTTTAGCAACAACTAGTATTCGTTGTTGCCAATTAAGTTTTGTAGTTTATATTTATTATATTACTCCTAAAATATAGTATGGAGAATCTATAATATGTGGTAACAAGAAAAAAATTATGGTTAAAAATTGTATGATACAACAACAATCTAATCATATTGTTGCCATTTATTAAACTTAGCCAACAACCATAATATTGTTGGTAAAAAGTCGTTGCTGGTTTATATATATTTAAAATTTATTATATTATTTGTTAAATACGACAACAAAATTAAAACTTTTGCTAACAAAAAAAATTTTGTGGGTAAAAATTCTATGATATAGCAACAATTAAATGAAGTTGTTGCCATTTACTGTATTTTGCAACAATATTATTGTTGTTGTAAAAAGATTGTTGCCAATTCTATACTTTCTTGTAGTGAATGCTCATAAAATTAAAGCTTGATTTTTGTACCCATTTGGTTGCTTGATCAATAAAGACAATCCGTTGTCACTCAAATGACCAAGTCATCACAAAACAGTAAGAAAAAGTTTCAAGCCCAACAGAAAAATATATTTTCTTAATGAATATCGAACACTATTCTGTAATACTTACAATAGAAATTACATAATTTCACAAACTTAACTGTAACGATCCGACTAGTTATTTAGTGCCTTGACATTCTGTTCGGCAGTTTGAGACCTTGAGTAGCTTCATACGATGAATTATGACTTTCATGTATAGTTGGTTTCGATATTCGAGAGGTTTGGGATTGATTTGGAAGAGTGATTCTCAATTTGGAAGCTTAAGTTAGAAGAATTGACCAAGGTTTGACTTTTGGGTAAACGACTTCAGAATCGAGATTTGATGGTTTAAATAGGTTCGTATGGTGGTTTTGAACATGGGTATGTATTTGATTTTGGATTCGGAGGTTCCTCAAATATTTAAGCCCTATTTGTCGAAAGTTGGCAAGTTCAAGAATGAAGAGTTCATAAGTTTGACTGGGAGTTAATTTTTTGTGTTATTGTCACGATCCCAAATCCACTAGTCGTGATGACACCTAATCCCAACCAGTTAGGTAAGCCAACAATCACATAATAACAATGAAGTCGAATAAACATGGTCCAATAACTTAAGAGGAAAAATATCATGGAATATCTGAGAATATAACCGTAAAACTGCTACAACCATCCCCCAAAACCTGGTGTCAACGAGTACGTGAGCACTACTGAATAACAAGATACAAGCAAAATCCTCTAATACAACTGTCTGAATAATAGAACAATAAAGATAGAAATAACTTAAAGAGAACTTCAAGGGTTGCGGACGACATAACAGCTACCTCGTAGTCTCCTAAAAGCTGGCAACAACTCAAGTTTGAAAATCACCTCGACCAGATGTACCTGGATTTGCACATAAAGTGCAGAGCGTAGTATGAGTACAACTAATCCCATGTATTCAATAAGTAACAACACTAACCTTGGGCTGAATGCAGTGACGAGCTCAAAACAATAGTCAGATGCCAATATCAATAACCGGTAACTGTTCAGTATATAAAGGAAAAATGGTGGAAACAAGTAGGTCAATGATATTATGTTCAACATGTTCACATTTCAGATATTTAGACATGCTTTCAAGTATAGCAATTAAAGCCCAACACAGATAAAAAATTTTATTTACCAAGTAAAATGAGGAAGGTACGTCTCTATGCTTACATGTCAATCAACAAATGTCACAATGGATCCATCAATATTCACACTTAGCATTGTCCGGATGCCTGGAACAACTTCCCATCATCAAACACGTATATGAAATATGGTGCCTGCACTCACTGATGATATGTTAGACTATGGAGGGGCAGATTGTAATACCATATATTTTAAATAAGGGTGTATTGTAATTAGCATAAAAAAGAAGAAGAAAGAAACTAACTAATAAAACAAAACAAAAAAAAGGAAAAGAAAAAGATAAGGAATTGAAGTAAAAGGGCCAAAGCCCATTAACCTCTCTACCAAATTGAAAAGGGTTAGGGAAGGGGAACGAAGCAGAAAGTTTCAGGAAACCAAAAAAACAAAAAAAAAAAAAAAAGGAAGAAAGAAAAGAGAAAAGAAGGAGGAAGAAGTTGGTGCACTCTTGGTACCGAAAAACTCACACCCAACTGGAAAAAAATTTCTACTCTTGCGTCTCGGTGATAAGATAATACATATATTCTTCATTATTTAGAAAACACTATTATTTTATTTACGTGATTCCTTATGGGACTGAATAGATATGAGGTTGGGATTGAACTAACAGTTTATAAGATAAAGTTAAGAAAATTTGGAGAAATTCATGAGACTTTTCAGAGAATTAACTTGGTATATTATATGGATGGGTTGTATTTAATAGATTTTGAATTGGTTTAAGTTAAATGTAGCAGTGAGTTGGAATATTGAAATGAGTCTTGATATTTCAAGTAGAATAAGAGGGATTTGTTGAGTTATTAAAATTCGGTGAATAAAAATCCAAATATGAAACTCTGAGAATATGGACATTCTAAATTAGCTATGAATTAACCAAAACATGGAAATTAATATGAGATCGATATTATGTAATTATAGAATGATTGGAGGAAGTTGTACAAATTGCTCGAGGTGAAGCATTTGGTATTTCGACACGAGTACTGAGAGTAGTAATCTTACCGCAATTTGTATTCTCATAACTTGCATGATTTACACATAATTTTTAATATGAATATGTTACTGATTATTTTGAGTTGTACATGGGACAAGTCTTTTAGTTGATATGATACCGAAATAGTTATTTGAGATGACTACCGTTGTTTTAAATATTTTCGTTGTCACTAGATATATTTTACCGTTACTTGAATTTACTGTTATCAAAACGAAATTTCATGATTTGATAACAACCGATCTACCTTACACTATTTTAAAGTATTTTATTTCAAGTATATATGGATTATAAAGACAAGTATAAATAGGAGTAGACTTTGAAGGATCCCGTAGCTAACGGCGGGTTCGTTAGACCTGGTGCACCTTGTAATTACCGATTACCGTTATAGCCCTCGCTAGTGGGAAGGTAGAACTAACATACCGTTATCGGTTTTCCTCGAGTTGGGACTACCGTTATATTTGACTTCTTGCGAAGAAGTCCACAGTTATACCGATTACATGATCCATTCAATGAAACTTCCCAAACATGAATATTAATATTACACAGTATTTACCGAGCTTATTACCGAATTGTCAATTGATTTATATTACATGAAAAATATGATGAGACTGACTATTATTTATTATTTCTGTAAGGGCATTCTTATGATATTTTCTATTTAATATATATACTATAATGTTTTTTGACTTATTCCCAATAAAAATAATTGTGGTTAAGTGTTATTACTCACTGAACTAGCGACTCACTCCTTGCTATTTCTTTTATAGAGACATCAGTTGACGCAGGCCAGGATTTCGTTAATTAGAGCGCACAGGTTGATATCTTGGTAAGTGTATATGGTAAAAATCAGAGGGTCCGATTTTGTGATCATTAAGGCACCTCGTAAAGATCTCCCCCAGAAGGCTCGAAGTTCGGCTTGGGTTCGACCCCGAGGGTTCCTCACATTCGACCTCGAGAAAGTGCAAATCGATGATTATCATGAGAAAGCGGGAAGTTCCCAAGGCATATGATCAAAGCTGACAAGACCTGCAAGAGAAGCCCTAGTCTGTACCAAACTAGAGAATAGTTGTACCAGCTATATTTCTTTGTAATAAATGCATCTGCACCATGTTGAGATTTCCCCTCATATATAAAGGGGATCCTTGTCATTTTGTAAGGAGGATATACAACACAACACACCATATTGAATACAAGAACATTCTCTGCTCTCTAAACTTAAATACATCCTCCCTTGATTCTACTATTACATTTATTGCTTACATTTATTGTGTTCTATTAATTTTTCTTCATTTATTGCTCATTATCGATCATAAAGAGCCTTTATCAAAGCTCTCAAAGCTGTTAGTCCTTTACCAGCTGCCCATAACTTAGTATCGAGCTCGACCCCGAGGCCCCGATTATCAGCCACTCGGTTTGCTTAAACCTACTATCTTCAAGCTCTTATCTTATTTTCTAGTCTCTTACTTAGCATCTACTGCTTAACAACTAACAGAAAAATAAATCACGTATTTTTAGAACCACAAAATCAAATCTAATTGTTATTACCATTTTCAAGAAAAACAGTTTGGCGCCCACCGTGGGGCTAAAAATAATAGTGATTGTTCTCTTGCTGGTTTACTACATAACGCAAGTTATCGTTCACGCTTTTTCTTGTCCAAAGAATCTTTGATTTCAGGTCAAGATGTCAAACTCAGTGAATGCACAGGAGAACAACGGTCCTGAGGACCATGGGGAGAATGGTGTAGCTGTTCCAGGTATTGGTGTACCACCGCAAAACCCAGAAAATGCACCAGAACCAATTCCCGTGGACGTGGTCTCGCGCAACGCCCAACATGTCGACATAAGCTTCTATACCGACATGAGTATACGCCAAGAGAGCCAACAAGAAGCTCAGAAAACCCCAGTTCGGGAAGAGCGAGAGGTTAGCCTTCACGTTATTTTTGAGATGTTGCAGGCACAACAGCTGGCGATTGCTCAACTACAAAGCTACCAAAAACTCCAAGCACGGCAACACCGGAGGCGGCTCCTCGAGCCAAAAAAATACCAGAAAGATCAAGCAACAATGGGTCAGCAGCCGATCCTGCTATCATAAAGATGCTCGAGGACCTCACGAAGAGGATTCAATCGGGCGAGAAGAAGATAGAAGCCAATGACAAAAAGGTGGAGACCTACAATTCTAGGGTCGATAAAATCCCGGGCGCACCCCCTATACTGAAGGGTGTAGATACGAAGAAGTTCATACAAAAGCCATTCCCACAAGATGCTGCTCCAATACCCATCCCGAAGAAGTTCAGAATGCCCGACCTTC